GTGGCACTTTGCTGCACACGAGAGCAATGTTTACAATGTTTCATGGAATGATCTCGAGTGCAGCAAAGGCTTTCACTCGTGTTACACATTATATTTTTCCTACAGTCACTATAAAGCATATAAATAATTAGTCTTTCAAACACTATACAAAGCTTTTTTAGGTTCAGCTGGCAACAAAAATGGTGCCCTAGAGAAAGTAGTACCCACGGTCCGTATCACTCCGCTATTTTTCCTCGGCAAGAAATTTGCTACGCGTCTTGAGAATATAGTTCCGTATGTTTTAGTAATTTGAAGTGGCTTCCGCGCCTTAAAAAATGCTTAAAAGGTATTTTTTTTGTTTATTAAGATCGTAGGAATATTTTAAAAACGTTTAAAAGAAAAGTCCAGAAAGTTCAGGAATACCGAAACTATAAACACGAAATGACAGGTTAAATCGTAGTTATAATTAGTCAATCAGCTGCTCATAGAATTATTATCTTTAAGTGTTGCCAACCTATTTCCAAGCGTACACGGATTACGTGCATAATAAAACCACGCTGTTTTGTGTTGTTTGGTTGGAATCCTGATGTGCGGCAAAGTATAAACCGTACGGCAAAGTATAAATATGCAGCAATTAGCAGCTTTCTGTACTATAAACAGTACAGGGAAGCCAACTTTGTCAAGTGACTGTAGGAAAAATAATAAACAGCTTATGATTTTGCTGAAGAGTTCCATTAACAGGTGAAAAAATTAATAAAAACATAATAGGTAAAAAAAAACTTAAAAAATAAAAATAAAAATATAACAATGTATAAACATTTAACACAACCAATGATCAAATGAACAAATAATGATAAAATAGCAATAACATATTTTCAGTAACATAATAAACAAGCACAATAAAAACATACAGGGTGATTGATATAAGTGTGCCAGCCGTTTTATTCGAAAACTATCAGAGATATCAAAAAAAGTTAAATGGTAAGTGCCTTGGATTTTTTATTTAAAAAAAATGTAGTCAAGTCAAAAAAATTATTTTAGCCGCCATTTTTCCAATATGGCCGCCAACTTTGATTTTTCTTATGGAACACCCTGTATTTTATGATGTATTCTGGTAGAAAATGTAATCTTAAGACGATTTTATTCTTGTAATTTTTTTCATAAACCTAACCGTTTTAAAGATAATAATGGTCAAAGTTTTAAAATTTCTGCATGAGAAAGAGTTTTGATAAAGGCCTAAGCAAGCATGCCCCAGCTGTTTTATTCGAAAACCATTCAAAATTTCACAACTTAAACCATTATTATCTTTGAAACGGTTGGGCTTATGAAAAAAAATACAAGTATAAAATCGTCTTAAAATTACATTTTCTACCAGAATACATCATAAAATACAGGTAAAAAAAATCAAAGTTGGCGGCCATATTGGAAAAATGGCGGCTAAAATAATTTTGTCGACTTGACTACAATTTTTTCAATAAAAAGTCCAAGGCACTTACCATTTAACTTTTTTTGATATCTCTTATGGTTTTCGAATAAAACGGCTGGCACACTTATATCAATCACCCTGTATATAGTTAAAATTGTGTTCACTAAAAAAATATGAATAAAGTAAAATATGAAAAACAAAGAAAAAATTATTACTAAGATTTAAATTTTACAAACAATAATAAAAAAGACCAAGTATAAGACAGAGGAAACAATCGGGATCAGGTAAGTATGAAAAATAATAGAAAACTATTTCTAAAAATGGGTTTAATAAAACACACATAGAAGGTTCTTTCTTATCGATTTTAACAATGTGAAAAATCTTTGAGATTTTGTACTTTTAAAGAGGCTTCAAGTTTGAATTTTTAAAATCAACATAGAACTTGTAAAAGCTTGGCTTGAATCAGCATAAAAAAAACTTACCGTACCGGTAATTAAAATTTAGAAATTATAACAGTAAAATAAATAAATGTTACCTGCAATGTACTGCATTAAAATCATTTTCTTCAAACATTTTAAAGTTTATATATTGATTTATTTGATAAAGTTTATATTATCAATAATACAATGATGTAATTTTTTCTATAAGTATTAACAAAAATCATAATTTTGTCAACAAATTAAAAACAATTGATTCAGTTCCACTTTTTACATACTGTTTAATCAGCACTTAATTAATGTGTAAGTTTTTAATAATATAATTAGTTATTACAATATCTAAGCATTTAGTTGTGGAACTGTACTTACAAATTTTACAGAAACATTGTGGTCTTACTACCTTTCTTTTAAATTAAAAAATACTAAATTCCAAACATATTTTTTAAAACCAAATCGACTTAACACATTTCCAATATTCTATCCACATTAACTACAACAGCCCTGTATACAACTTAAAAGTACTGTATCAACATTCATTGTTTACATTGTATTATATAATAACTACATACACTTTCATCGCATGATGATATCACTACAGTTTAAGAAAAATTATCTACATTTTGGCCACAATTATAAAGACATAATACAACATTATGTCTGCTATTTATATTTATGTACAACAATATTAAAAATAAAATAACGGATGACAAGCAAATCAATAAATAGTTGATTATCTTATTCAACTTTCTATTTTTTACCCTCATAACTATTCAAAATTTAATTTAAATTTAGTCAGTAAAGTAAAATTAAGATAAGAATACAGTATTCAAACTGTAGAAAAGAATAATGTGGTCATTTAAATCTACTGCAGTACACCTATTGATTGTTAGGACAAAACTTTATTGTACTGTTCAGTTTTTTTCTTTTAGGTAATAGCTATTTACCTTACAAGTGTAGTAAGAGCGTTTTTACATCACGCAGGTGAATGTTGTGCAATGAGCGGAAGCGAGTTGCATAATTTACCTAAGTGATGTAAACACGCTCTTGAGTAACGTGTAACGTACAAGATTTTACCTGACCCGACAATATACAGGAGGTTACGAACAATATTTTTCATTATCCATTTCACTCCACTCATCTTCTAACAGTAACATTCATTTACAAACAAAAGCTAGGTTAGGACAATTCTTCAAAACATAACAATAAAATTCAAGCGCACAGCTGATTTCTAGCGTTGAACGTCTCCATAGAGGTATATTTTTTAAGTTATACACTCAATGTTATTTAAATAAGTTTCATTACCTCACCGAGTGAGTTTTTTTCAACTTTACATCACTCGAGAAGTAAAGAAGTTGTATACATCACGCTTGGGATAGGGAAGTTTAACATGGCGGGGTTAGGTAAATTTATTTTTGTGTGCCAACAACAAAAAATTATTTATAACTACCTATCAAAATGTGCGAAAAGTAAACTAAAACATTTCCTTATTATTCCTGTTGCCATAAGTAGGCCTACCAGTAAATATTTATTTAAAAATTTTGGTAACTGGTATTTTAAAAGTATAATATATTATACTTAGTAGTATTTTAGGTTCATACTAACATTGTACAGTTTTAGCCAAATTTTTCAAATTTTTATTTCATTCAATATTCACACATTCAAGCATACATCAAAAACATATCTTCTTTATGAGACTAAATGTCACATTACTTTACAATCAACCAAAGCTTATAATGACTACATTTAAATTCTTTCAACATTGCAAAAATGCAAATTGTAAAAACTAAGCTAATAACAGCTTGTTAAAATCATGCAGTTAAAATGTATTACACAGTAATTAGTTGAGCTGAATCCTATGTATAGAATATATGTTTAACAACAGGTATATAAAAATAGAAATATGTACAAACTCTCTTTTAGACTGAATAAGTAAGAAACAATTCAGTATTAAGTTAAAAATTTAAAAAAGTTAAAACTACACTTTAAAAGATTGCTATGCTATCTAACTAAATCTAGTTCAACTAGTTCAACAGTTATGCATTCAAGGAACTAAAGAACTACACATAAATTCACATTTATATACAAGTTAAAAGTTATTTAATGACCAAAGTAGTCAAGAATTGTCTGTTACATTTTATCCTGCTTCATTCAATGAAGTGAACTGGTCTATAAAAACAATGTTAAAATTATCTTAAACAATATTAACAATGTTAAAAATTCAGCCGAATTAATTCCTATATGAAAAACATATGCAAAACAGGTACAATTGTTAAAGCAATCTTACGAAAAATAACAGAACTACTTTACTTAGGAGATAAATGAATTAGTGACCACAGTTTAAATATAACTTATACAAATAGAGCTAACTAAGTGATCAAAAGGTAGCTGGTTAAACCATGACAAAAGTCAGTACAGTAGCTTTTAATGGAAACTGCACCCTGTTGTCCTTGATAGTTAGGCGAGTCATTGGAGACATTCTAAAACAGTTAAAAACCTACAAAGAAAATTTCTAATCCCACAGAGCACTAGATATTTAAATTATAATAATTTGATATTTGAAAAAAATATTTCAGGATGGCAAATTATATAATTTGCTTCAGCGGCCGTTTGAAATTAAAAAAAAACTAACATTGCTGTTATGGGGGCAAATCCAAGATGGTGGTTTTCCTCCATGGACTCCCTTGAAAAACAATTAAAAACTACGAAGACATTTTCTAATCCCACAGTGTCCTAGATACTTCAACTACAATCACTTTGGTGCTTGAAAAAATATTTTTGGACGATAATTAACTCTTCAGCAGCGGTTTGAAATTATCCAAGATGGCCGCTAGCCTTCATGGACTCTTAATAATGATCCTGGCTAAAGAGTAATCTTAGTCAGTAACAAAGCTTCAAAAAGCATCTCACTCCATTCTACGCTCATACCCATTGGCACTGCAGGAAGCGCATTAATTCCTTCCCCAATGGGTTAATCATAGAAACACACAACATTGTATCATTGTATCATTGTATCATTGAGTAAACATCCCTAGTGACTAAGTAATAGTACTTTCTTCAAAATAAAACCAATTTCTATCTACAACCGTTATTAGAGTGTGAGCTTTTGTTACTGATCAAAAGTTCCTATGTCCAGAACCATTGATCAAAATAAGCTCCAAGATCAAAAACAGCTGTGCCCAGTTTTGAACCATCAAAAAGCTACTGACTTTTCCCTAGATTAATGGATAAGCACTATATTCACTAATTCAGCCTCACTCATAAAGCGTAGTGTCATGGAGAAGATTGATTCCAAAAACATTTGGTCCTAGAGAAAAACAAGTAGATGTAAATGTGTTGACTTGTGAGATACTTTGGTTCAGAACACTCAGTGGATCAGAAAAGATAAAAGGAGCGGACGGCAGACGCAGGCTTGTTCCATAGTCTGGCAGATATCTCTGCATGGGCAGACACAAGGGCTCAGCTGGACAGCTCCCCTAGACAAGTAATACAAATAGTTGTAGTACTATTTTTTATTTAAATCATTCAATCAGTCAGATTTGGATTAAGTAATGTTTTAAAGATAGCTTATGATAGGCTATGACAGATTTTAGCTAGGGTATGGTTCAGTGGACGGATGTGGCATAGGTTAACTTATGCTGAGTTAGGTTAGTCTGAGTTTTAATCAAAATCATTAATTTGAATAAACACATGAATTACAAATCAGGGATTTTTTTTCATTTTCCTCCCAAATGGACAACAATCTGGTGTTTGGGAAAAAAGCTCTGCTAAAAAGACTAGTTTAAAATAATGGTACATTTTACTGTACTATGTCCATGTATGGGATTTGTAAAACCCATAAATAGAAATCTAGAAATTATGTAAATCCTACAAACCCCTAATGATTTGAGTACTGTACCAGAAGCTTAAAGAGTAAGACCATAGGTAGGTGGACTAAACACTGAACGTAACAATACGTTTTCAAAACAAATTAGGACGATGTCTGAGACTTTTTTTCAAAGAGTTGGAAGCTCTGTCACCTTATTTAACTCATATTAGATAATGTAAAATGCCAAAGTTTAATAAAATATTAAATATTATAATCCAACAATATTACATGAAGAAATCATGCCCCATTTTTTTTTGATTACACAGCATATTAAAAAGCATACAGTGCAAAACTATTGGAACGTATAACTATCAAGTAGTTCTATACGATAAATTTATGTAATAAAAGTTGTATTCCTACCTTGTGCCAACTGTTGCCTTCATGTGCTGGCTGGGTTGTGGGGGGCCACAAACGGGGTCCATTTGAGACAGGCGGGGTCTATCTCCTTGTAGCTAGGCCCCCGCCGCTTGGTCCTCTCTACATACTCCTCTATCACATCCTGTGGAATCATCAGTTAAATTGAATAAATATAAATAAAACATAGAAATACAAATTTTAAAGGAAAGAAAAAAATTTGTCTGATTAATATCGGTGTTAAACGTAAATTAATCATATTTAATTTGGTTTTTATATGGAATGGAGTTGGTCACAAGGCTAGGAAAAATCCAGTTTCCGCCCTACAGCCCTTCAGATAAAAAAAAACAATTTTTGCAAATGATAAAATGTGTCTGATCAAACCGAGCAAGGCTCGGTCCCCCGGTACTTTGGTATTACAAACAGAGTAGAACATTAAAAACTGTATTAAATTTGTTTTTATAATGTAAAGCATAAATATTTTGACTTAAAAGTAATATTTTAATGTTTAAAATGTTTCTAAGCTCAATGGTGTATTAATTACTATAATAAGTACATACATTTTAATTGCAAAAAAAAAAATATTTTTCAGAAATTTTTATCTAAATCTTTTTTAAAATTTGTTATCACTATTTATTATTATTTACACGTATTAGCAAGGAAGACTAAACAATATTTTATATGGTTAAAATACCTTCTAATTAATTAAAATTATGCATTCAATTTAAATTATTTTAGATTGTATTTAGATTAATTCCCATTTGAATTTAGCAATAGCCATTCATTAGTTTTAAAGAAATTGAATGCATTACATCAATATGTTTCAGTTTCAAAATAAAAATAGTAATAAATGTGATTTAAATTCAAGGCATACAAGGCAATTAATAAAAATTGTATCCAACAATCAAATATTTTTTACCTTTTTTAGATGTAAATCAATTTTGCAAAACGTTAAACAGCGAAAATGGACAAACAACTAATATTTACTTCAATTCATTGCACTATGCAAAAAAGATAGACAAACAAATAGTGAATGAAATAATCTGAAAGTGAGTAAATGGCAGACAAAAATAACTGGGGAAACAAAGCTCTATTAGTTGGCAATGTATTTGTTTATCCAGGCCACTTTACACCCAGACTTTATATCTGCTGAAAACAATTTGTTATCGCATTTAAAATGTAATGTAAATCTTTTCCATAACTATTCTAGTTATATTCTTCTATTCATTTATTGTATAAGGACGTGTTTACTAACTATGTAAGTAAGTTAATTTAATCAATAATAAAAAAATGTCTCAACATAATTTATAATTATTTGTTTGTGTATAATATTACGCGTTTTTCAATTCATTGGCATTACTATAATTGTAAATACACAAATAAATACACTGGGTTCATTGTTATTAAAACATTATTTATGTAATACTAGCTGTTGTACCCGTGCTTTGCAACGGGAAGAGGACACAAAATAGAAACATTTTAATCTTTACATCAGTTGCATATAGTAATTACACATCCGCCAAAGCTTTTAGAAACAAAATTAAACATTTATGGCCTTAATAGAAAGGTTTAAGTTATGATTTTTAAATCTCGTAAGTAGTGGATACCACCATTTTGGTTTTGATTAATTTTAAATCTTGTGTAGGCTGATATGAGAAAAACTGACCAAATTTTCGAATTAAACTTTCACATACGATTTACCTTCATCTCCCTTAATTACATATCTTTTTATTTATAATTGGCATTTTAAATTTCAATTTTGAAGTTGCAAAAATACTTATTATTAAATTTAAATGGACATTTTTTTTAAAATTTCACTCTTCTTCATAATAAATAACAAATCCTTCAATCTTCAGTTTCTTCACTCACAATAAATCATTAGCAAAACTAAGGCATCTGTTATAAACTTTAGAAATATTCTTGTGCCTTATCAATACAGTCTTTTGAAATATTAAAGAAACTATATATATACTATAAAAAATGTTAAACAAATAATTTAGCACTAAAGACAGCAGACAAAACTAATATGATTATCAAAGCGCCGAGGACTAAAATTGTAATAGCAAATACAGTATATGTTTCATTGCATCTCTGATTCTACTCTACAAAAATATCAAGAAACAACTTAATATACAAACCAGTTCTTTTAATCAGTTCCATCATCCATTGCCTTTAAATTTTCACACTTACCATTAAGTAAACATAGGTAGTAACAGATATTTTATTGATTTTATAAACAAAAGAACACTGTGTACTGCTTAGTTTTATGATACTTTCCTTGGTTTAATTTAATCAGTGGTGTGGCAAAACACAAATAATAAATTTATCAAATAAAGTAAATGTGAACTGAAAGCTATGTTAAGATAAATAAGAGTATTTTGTATTACCATTTGATAATTTAATATAGTTACACATATACAACAGATTTTAGAACACAAAATCAATGACGTACAATTTTGTTATTGATGATATTCTTTAGTTTAATTTAAGCATAGTTTTAGCAAAAAACAATAACTAAATTTACCTAAATATACATATAAAAAACCATGTGATGTGCAAGTTATGTTAAGTTAATCTAACACATGTAAAGCAGTTCAAATTTATTTAAAATAGCCTCCAAATTCATACAAAACATCTATAGGGATTGTAATTTTCATACTGTATCCATGAAAACATATCAATAACATTATTTTCATAACTGAGACGAAAAATCCAAAGCAGAGCCGGAGTTGATACAGCAACGGTTATAGAATTTTTTTTCTATAATCATTGACAGTTTTAGAATAAATAATCCATAATAAAAGGTTAGATTAAAATAAACCTACCTCATAGTTATGGAAAATATTATATTTAACTTCTTTGTATCAGCTGTCTGAAATTGTGAAATATGCAATTTAGCAGTTCTTCTTGTTTACATTGAATTGAATCAAATGTAAACAAACATTGTTAGTGTTCTAATCGCAGTCATGGAGACCAATCAATATTTACTTTTAAAATCCTCACCTCAGAACTGTAAAAGCCAAAGGGGCAAAGCCTACGGTCAGTATCGAAATGTGAATAGTCCTATAATGGTCCTTGGTATGTTAGCTATATTTTTGTAAAATATAAGCTTAGTTGGTTCAGTAGTTTTTGCACCTATTAGTAATACACATACAGACAGACACCATTAGATTTTTATATAATAGTATAGATATAGATTTCTAAATCATTAAAATTATTAAGTGAAAAAAGTTAATTATTTTCTTGTAAATCGTAATTTATTGTAAATTTATCTGCGGTAAACTACTGTAAATATAACAAGAAAAACAAATATGTTAAAATTCCTAAATAATGTAAGAATAGATTTTTAAATGTCTACACTGTCTACAGTATTAATGAAATCAAGATCTGGAAATTTTAAAGATAGTCAAGGATTTAATAATTGTGTTAGATATGTGTTGGATAGAGTATGAAGTCAATTAGTAGGCAAATAACAGTATGGTGGATAGAGCAAGTATTTACAAAGATTAAATAAATCATTTGGATGTTATATTCAACAATGGGATATGTCTATTCTATAATGATATTGTTATAAGTATTTTCAATTAATCATTTTAATTTATATCATTATTAGAACCTATATTTATACAGTAATAACCCAGGAAAAGCCGTACTTGCATTTATAAAGCAGTAATAATAAATAGTCTTTTTGAAGACAATTAGTAGAAAATTTATGATGAATGACAGAAAAACTTTATCAAAGAATAAATTGTAAATGGATATGTTTCAAAATGAGTTTACAACAATCGTTATAAATAATGACCAACTTCTTCCAAAGTTTTTAAAAATAAATGTATAATTCAATGGAAAATCTTAATTAGACTAAATGCATGAAACTTATTGATGAGATTTTAGTAATATATTTTATAATTTAATACACAAGATTTAATGAAAACGGTTATGATTTTACTCTTTGTAGACTAATGACGAAAAGTATTCTACTTTACGACTAACTCTAAAAAGACGCAATCATAGTTTAAAAGTTTAGAATAAATCTACGTACAAAAACACCTGCATATGAAATAACTATGACAAAACTAATAATATAACCTAGAAACAGAATAGAGAATGAAAATTCAGACCTCGAAACACAAGGGAGATAATACAGTATGGAGCTTGGAAGGTTTGGAAGGGGGGAGGGGTAAAGAAATGCTACGAATGTGGTCGACGGGTCTGTATTAGGTTGGGGGGGGGGGGGCTTATCAAAGTCTGGCAAATAACGAATGCAAATTTCCACAGAACCCTGCGCCACAAGACCCCATTGAGAGGGTCCCACTTAAGTGTTAACTGGCAAAGAGACGATCACCTTTTAATGAATTTGCTCAGCCTTTGTTTCGATCTAAATCCTGTTAGCCTGTTAGGCTGTTTACGTCAATCGCTTGTGTTTGAAACAAATAATTATCTGAAAAAGTCTTTTGATGTATCAAAAGTGGTTGAAATTCTTCATGTGATAAAGGTAAAAAATGCAACTCTTTAGAAGAAAACAATGAAAATTTTCGTTAGTAATTTGTCTTTGAAATTACTTTTTGACTATATTTGTAACTTTAATATATGTACAACCCTTAAAAACAGAACGAATTTATATCTTTTTCATGACATTTATTGGTGGTCTGGGATTTAAGGAATTATGACGGACCTTTTCCACCACATAAACTTGATGGAAAATGATGTAACGACCGCTGATAACATACGCTAAGAGTTAAAACTAATATCTGTATATCCACTACGAATTTATATCCTTTGTTAGACATTTATTGGTGGTCAGAGTAGATTTAAGGAATTATGACGGACATTTCCCATCACATAGACTAGACTGAAAATGTAACGACCAATAACATACGTTCCAAAAAGTTAATACTAATATCTCTATATCCACTACGAATCTATATCCATTGTTAGACATTTATTGTTTTGTTAGTCAGGATGTGTTCTTAGAAGGAATTATTGACGACAAAGATTTCTAAATAGGTTTGAAAGACATAAATAAATGTGGTAACATCATTTTTACAAAATGACATACGATGAACAGTAATTACCCACTAGCTTACTTCTGTTTGAAAAAAACCACGTATTTGTACACTGAAATCTGGATAAAAAACATACTGTACCTGTTTCTTTAGAATGATGTGCTTCCCTTTCCAATACTTCATCATACCAAGAGCTTGGAGAGTGCTGACTATGTCGTAGGAATTTATGGCCATTTCTTGACTTATGTCTGAAAAAAACAATCAAAGGTAAATATAGAGTGGAACATCTAAAGACAGCACTGTTTTCGGTCACAATCACCCTCTTTCAATACAGCTACTATGACATTTTTCCGATTTTGTGGAACACATCAATGAGTACTGTCTTCTTTTAGTTGTTGGTTTTTTATAATAATTCGTAGCTTTTCTTTCTTTACGGTAATCATGCACGTTATTTAAGTTTTGATACCATATTTACGACGATAAGGGACAGTAAAAACTACAGGACATATATGCATTGGTTGTTTGAAAAACATATTTAGTAAATTTCTGCCCGATTGTATTAACAATGTACATAAGTGCTTTTCATTAAAATACATAACCAAACATAGAACCATATTGAATTACACAACCTTGATCCATTTTAAATCTTACCTTGCATTTGAATTTTGTGGAGAAACCACACGAGTCATTTACTTATTTCCTTTTTGTTGTAGTTTTGGATTTATTTTAATTAAACGACGAATTACAGAAAGTTAAGAGGTCAATCTTTCACAAAAAAATCATCACGTCGAAAATATATAGGCGGTTTGAGGGGGAGGTTTCCTGGTTCCCCCATCAGGTTTTTTACCTCAATGTATTAATCAGCTGATCAGCTGTTGACTGTTGTTTTAAAGTTAGGGTGACGTGGAAGGGATGGAATCGATTCCCCTCAAACCGCATAAGTGTTGGATAAGAAATACCATACACACCTTTAACGGACAGAGTCTTGCCTCCCAGGTTACAGAGGTACTCCAGTAGGACGTCCTTCCAGTAGCTGCGGTAGGAGATGAGGCCCAGGTCAGACAGAGGCTTCTCTGGGGAGCCTATCTTGCCTTCCACCCTGGTCAGTAGATAACCTGGGACAGAGAAACATATGTTATACACAACAACTTACATCAGCTGATTGCTGAGTTAGGATCGGAAATGATAATTACTGGAACCACAGAATAAAAAGTCTGTGGACATTTCTCTTTATTCTGAGCGAAAAGATACAGCCACATCACAGAATCCCTTTGCTAGGCACTGTGTACCTGTAGTACACTTTTATTAGCTAAACAAAAGTGCAGGGTATTTATAAATGAATATAATGTTTTTATTCTATATCATACATACCTACATCAATCTGTTATATATTATACTAGCCACCCGTGCTTCGCAACGGAAAGAGAATAATCATGTTCTATATATCTGTTGTATGAAAATGTAATTGTATATAGTGTATTGCATTTAAAATGTATGCAAAAGTTTCATTAACCACATTGCACCAAGAAACGAATCTTTATTAAAACAAATACGATTAAATGGCAGAACAAACAATACCATTAATTTACATCACCCGTTTTAAATTTTACTTTGATATGTTTTGTTAGCAAAAAATAAGAAAACAATGCTTTCAAAATATCGGTACCTTTAAGACGGTCCCAGGGCTAAGCCCTGAAAGTTATAACGAAATTGATGTAGCATAAACCTACTCCGTGAAATTCTACTTGTATGTAACAAGTTTCGTGGCCATCGGTCCAGCGGTGTCTGAGTTTTATCACTGCCAATTGTATATACAAACAAATATACTAACCAACATAATCTTTTATACTAATGGACATAAAAATAGTAACTCGAAAAGTATTATTTGTCGGTGTTATGTGTTAACAACTCTTTGATTTGACAAACAGAACTTATCTAGTTATTTTAACAAATATTCCAAGACACTTAACCAATATTTTGAAAAATCACTTATCTGCTTGATTTGTGCTTAATAAACTGGGTTTTTAGCACATGTATGCTTATACAAAACTTAGTTGAGCTACTCTATCATTTGATGAACAACAAAAAAAGTGTGAGTTAAATGTAACTCCACATTCAAAACTTGAAAACCTGAATATTCATATTATTTAGAAACACTGTCTTATAATGGTCTATTTTAGCGATACAAACAGGGCCACAACTTCTACACGAGTTGATAAACATATTTTTAAAAAACAACGCTAAACCACAATACTTAAACACGATTTAGTTATTTACTAACAAGCTTAATTCATTAGTGAATCTGGGATAGGCCCTACTAGGCGGCAAAAGAACGTTTAGTAAAAATTTAATTAAAATTAGCATATCAAGAAAAGGAGGCTGGGACAAAGAAGATTAAGAGATAAAATAAAACTGTCATTACGCGATTGTCCTCAGACATCTGCAGCACTTGAGTCTTTTTTAATTTCCTTCCTTATTTAATTTCCGTTTCCAATAATACAGAGAAGAGCCAGGTGGGAAGGGGAGGAGATGACAGCGCTCCTGGAGGAAAACTTCGGAACTACAAGAGAGTGTGTTGTTGGCAGAACACAAAACTACGACAAAAACTGGTCCTATTACTAACTTATAAGAGGTGTTCCTTCTCCTTGATCATATCTCCTTCCTATCACAGAACGATTTCAAATGTTAGCCTATCCATACCGTAATCCGCAAATTTGTCTATACAAATTTTTGTAGCGTTTGTCGATTCTAAACTCACAGCGTCTGACGCCAAATACTACACAAACTTCACTAGACAAAATTAAAATCAACACACCACAATGTAAAAAAATATTTACGGTACAAAATAATTCTCTCAGTAATAGGTCTTTTTCTGTTAAAGCTTTTAAAAGGCAATAATCGTACCTCAATTAATTGAACTTGGTTACGACATTTATTGGAACGTTTAAAAATCCAATAAAATGTCCCTGCGATACAAATTTACATGAATCCATGTATATCCAAACTAATATTACTATCGCAACTGTCACTAGTTACAAACGCTAGGTTCTAGCCCGGAGTGTATAGTTCCGGGCTAGATCCATATAATATCTCTATATGATACAAAGTTGTAATATATAGAGATCTATAGCTAGAACCAAACGTCGATGTGAAGGTGGGACATAAAAAAGCTACAAACCGTCAAAGCATTTAAATATAAGCCTAGTCTGTACTAAAGGGACAAAACATGCATATTCGCCAAATTGTACAAATACATTCCACATCAGCTGACCAAAAATAAATAAACTTCCCGACAGCAATATCATCCCCAAACAACTATTCATGTGGCAGCAGATTTCAGCCCCAAAGTAACAAGAATTCATCAACAAACGATACACCTGCTAACAGCTACAGGTACACAATAATTAATTAATCTTTACGACTTCCTTCGCTTCATTACGACGTTTCGTAGAGCTGCAGCCCCCCTTGTCCGTACCCGATATTTAAATGGGCGGCGACCAATTCCCAGCTTTCTTAGAATATATTGCGGAAACGTAAAATCCACGCGTCTAATTTACTAGTCGGAAATAATAGTTTTTGTAGAGATTTTTCTTTAGATTCGCGCCGACAAACACATCTAATGTGTTAATTAGAATTCGTTATTTCGAATAGTAAAATTGGGTGTTAGGATCGACTATGTTGATTACGAGTTTCATGCTTTGAATTTTAATTAATTTGGGTTTAATTTTAATGCAAATTTTATTGGATTTTAGATTAAAACATAACATCGATAACTAATCCGTATAATCGATAACTAAGTCGTTATATCGATAGTAGTCGACGGCTAGTTAGTGTTTTCGTAAGTATAAATTAATTCACGGCCAGAAAAAGATAATGCCCTGAGAAATGTAGTCGTTGACATCCCTAAATATACTCAAAAACCCAACGACAATTTTGTGATAAATTTAGTTCGTAAGAGTTTGGGTGAGAGTCCAAACCATAAACGTAAACGATAACTGAAATTAAGATTTATGATGCTTTAAATGAATAATATTATTTATTTAAAGCATCATAAATCTTAATTTCAGTTATGGCTATGTTAATTTTCATATTATTAAAAGTTTAAAATGAAACTATGTTTATGAAAACTAAAAAAAAATAAAGTACCTAACTTTCAGGTTAATTTAAATATGTTCTGATGTATAGAAGATCATTTTACCTTTCTGGTTAATTTTTTGCAGTTAAGTAGGCCTAACAGTTAAGTTCCAATTATCCAAATTATTTGTTACAAGTGATATAGACCAACAAGGAACCAATTAATTACCAAAACAGAATATCATTTCCCAAAATTCCACCCAAACAAATTAATCCACAGTTATACAAGTATCAAGGTCCTCAAAATTCCAGACATTCAAGTCAAACATCCAAATCAAAGGAAGACAGAAGACAAAGTAACAACAGTAGTTCTGAGCACCTCTTCATTCAAGGGGTGAACCCTTGGCTCGCTGAAACAATAACTAATAATCGTCAAAAGATAATGTTTCCGCTGCGGCTGGCATTCAGCGCGTTGAGCTCAACTTTCAATGACACTTTGGCTGATTAGCTAGAGGGTTGAAACAACTATCCCCTCCCCTCAAAAACTTTAGGATTGCACCTCCATACAGTTAGTCTGGATACAGTAATGTGTTGCTTCCCTACCCATTGCATATAGTTACTGTCTGGGTTAAGACAATCTAGAACTATTTAGAAAATGATTACAGCATTTTTTACAAAATAATATGTAAAAATACGGGAGAAAATGTGGAAATTCCTAATTTTCTTGAGTTATTTCCCTGTGCTAATGCTATTAAAAATAATTTCCTTTTGTGTTATCCAATTATTCACAGAGGAAGCGTGAATATAATATGTAGATTTAATTTTTGACAATACATCTGTTTATTAGCTTGAGGAAAAATTCTGGATAATAGAACTACTTTTATTTGTTTTTACCATTTTATTTACCACTTACAACGAGCAAACAGACTAGAAACACATTAGGTATTTTGACATCACCCACGTAAATATAATTTCGAGATACTATCAAAGTTATTTTATTTGATCACAATTATTTTGTTTGAAAATATTTAATTCAATCAAACAGGCCACATACATATTTTTATTATCTTTTAGAAATTAGAAATGCTTAATGGGGAATCTTTACTTATCGATAAAGTAAAACCTAAACGACGTACTACTATCTCAAATAAATTCAAAATATGGTTATCTTTACTATCATTATTTAGTTACGAAATTTTCAATTTGTGTTTATATAATTCAAATGCCTCTTAAAACATATAAATAAAGCTTACACACTTAATTATCTTTCGATAATTCATATGAAAAATCGGGAAAATTATTAAGCGATTCTTGGTAGAGTATTTCCATCCCTATATACTGCAGTGGATGGAGACAATTTAGCTTGTATCGTGGAAGGAATGTTTACTTTAACGCTACATCACCCAATATTCTCTGTATCTATCCTCGTATATACAGTATTCACATTCTCTTTTCAGCAACAGTCAAGCCCCCGGTTTAGAGTTTAAAAAATAAACAAACAAAAAATTGTGAACCTTAGGTAATTTCGAAGAAGGTTTTTCGAAATTATGATCATTGTTTTCTTATATGTCGGAATAGGTATTAATCTTGACTTTTTAACATCTGTATTATTTGGCCATCTACATAATTTTACATTTACCAGTTAGGTTTATTACACCTACAAACATGGCAACATGGCAAACATTTCAAATTACAAATTTTTGAAGGAGTGACTGTACATTAAATATTTACTTCCATAATGCTCAAACATCGTAATATAAAATCCTAAATTAAATATTACAGGCCGACATGATTATTTTATTTTTTTTTTAACCAGGTATTTAGGATATACGTCTTAGGCTATTCGTGAGTAATTAATTAAATCGAGGGCAAATTTTGGGCAAGTGGGCCATGTAATAGGATTCTTCGTACTGACGCGGGGGATATTTTCCCTGTTCAGTGGACAAACTTCGGGATAGGTAGAGCTACGTACAAATTCTGAGGGCGGGATAAAGTGGGGTATTTCGAGCCGAAATGCTGGATATTTACCCGCGTCTTGTGG